TGTACGGGGACCTTATTTTTCTCGCTTCTCCCAATTACTCGCGGAACCGATAGATACGCATAACGTTTCGACATTCTGTTTTGCAGATGTAGCATTTAAAAGATTGCACGTAAGTTCATACTTTCAACGAACCATGTTTATTTGTAAATAATCGTTTTTTACTTCATACATCCGGCAACTTGATATACTGTACTGAGGGAAACAATAGTTACAAAAAAATATTACTGGATTGAATAACATTATTTACTCCACGGGTCGTAATAGCGTATTTACTTGTATTCCACTAATAACATAGTAGAAATAAAATATTTATTTCAGTGAATGATGGTTTTTGCTTCTTATGAAAGACATATTTACTTAACTAAAGGATATATGCTTTTCATAGAGGAAACTAAATTTTGCTTACACACAAAAATTTCTTAAGATGGAGGAAACATGAAGTAAAAATAATATAAAATATGTGTTGCTACATATTATTTTATGACTGTACGAAATACAAAGTTGACTGTAATGCAAAAAAAGATCTTTTGAAATAAGAAATAGCTGTCTTTCTTACAACATACACGCTGGCAAAACGTTAAGAAATATGAGAAGGACTACTAATAATTTATGTTTTAAAAATAAAGGATATATTAATAAGACAGAAATATTTTTAATTACTTCAATACAGAATATTCGTCTTTTAAGTATATTATAATTTGCGTTATTAAATTATATATTTCTTTGCAGTAAGTATTTGCTATTAATGTAAAAGTAAGTTCTATTTTCAATATATAGACCATCCGTACAGACATTTCGTAATCATTTGCTTCAAGGAACAAAATGTTGTTTTCAGAGAAGAAAAGAAAATTATAAATAAAGTACAAATATTTTGCTGTGTAATGTAATATTTGTTAATATGTATACAATAAGAACGTGACTGTTTAGTTTAGAAGAATGCGATGTAATAAATAATTGCTGCAAGTTACACTATAGGTGTAATAGTTTAAAATATATGCAGGGTGTTGTGAAACAGCCGCACGGCAGTTGGTACACTTCTACAACTCGTCAGTTCTAAGAATATAATATTCTACTTTTTGCATGTATCCACGTCAAATTTTTAGATTAAATTGTTGCTAATGGTAATATGTACGATTTTTAAATTACTGACTTCACACATTGTAAATTGTTACCAAAAAATATTTTTCCGTTGAACAAAATAATTACTATTCACGTATAGCAATTGTGATTGTGACGGAAGTTACATTTATAACACAAAATGTATTACTGATATGAAATACCTACATACATACATCTTAAGAAAATATACACATAGGTAAAAATTAATATTTGACTGTATTAAATTGAAATGTTTTAATGTAATAAGTATAAGAAATATAAATGTAAGGTACGTTACTACATAAGCATTGATATAATATACATTTTTTTTGTGTCGTAATATAAACCTGTTGTAGTAAAAACACATGAATCGGTTGATGCTCAATCGATTGAAACAATACTTTGGAAAGTAGATATATGTAATAAGAAAAATATATTAAAACAGGCAATCAGTATCTACAATCAGGTCCACCATAGTCTCATCATTAATATATTTCAGCGTAAGCTAATTTTCTTTTAAAGAAGAATAAAAAGACATAACAGTTTCATAATATTTTCATTTTTATTCTTTGTTTTGTTGTTTTAAAGATATATTTTTTATTTTACTCAAATAATGCGATATTTGACAACATGTTACATACATCACATTGCAAACAATTACAATGTGATTTTC